AGTGGATAAGAAATTACTCATATATTTTATTTTTGTGCCAAATTTCACCATTGAATTGGGATTTTACTATCCCTCACTGTGTTTCAGGTGGGTCAAACAATAGTGGACAAAGACTGCAGCTCCAAATGTGAGTGCCAGGCCTCTGGGTTGGTTACATGTGAAAAGCTGCTCTGTACCAATGGAGAGGTCTGTGACGTGAGAGACGGGGTCAGAGGTTGTCATGCCATACAGGGCCACTGCAGTATCAGTCCGGTTGGCGAGCTGAACTCCTTTGATGGCATGTCTGGAAAAATAGGAGCACAAGGGGCTTTTGACTTGGCATCTCTTTGTAACGAGACCAGTAATCAGTGGTTCCGTGTGGTTGTGGATGTGAGGCTTTGCAGAAAGAAAGCCCCTCTCGCTGTTGCCACTTTGTATGTGTTCTTTAAGGACACTACTGTAGTAGTAAACAGTGAGCATGTAACCTGGGTGAGTAGTTTAAACCATGAACATTTTAAAGCAGAAACAATTTACTTTCGGGGAGCTTTTTTTTTTTTTAAAACATCTTTTCCTCTTGTTTCCTATTCATTATATTCTCCAGATAAATGGCAGAAAAGTGTCCCTGCCCAGCAAAGTGACAAATGTGTTATCAGTCCAAATCTTAAACAGGAGTGTGGTTATTGAGAGGCCCTCAGGTGTGCAGGTTATCTATTCTATATCACAGAAGGTCACTGTCACTGTTGATGGTAACCTATCTGGTGAAATATGCGGTGCCTGCGGCAACTACAACAATAACTCCAAAGATGACATGAAGACAGCAGATGGGAAAATTACAGGTGATTTCTCAGCTGTGATTGTGTCTTGGAGTGCTGAAGACTTCTCTCGGTGGTGAGTATTTTAAACATTCTGCAACATTTTTGGGGCAAAAGTGTTGTAATATCTGCAGTCCTTTCAGTCAGCGCCTTCCAAAAAAGATTTACTTTTGCTACTACTATTTCATCGGGATTTCATGAGATGAAACAGCACAAGTTAATGCAAATTTTCAAAGCATAACTGAAAAGCGGGTAAAGATATTCTGCGACTGCTGTGAAAAGCAATGCTTCAAAGTATTTGGAAGGGTTCCTAAAAACAAATGCACTCATACTTTTCAGTTTTTTATTTGTATGTCCACTTCATAATGATGTGCTCCTTCTGTTAGTCCATCAATAAAATACCTAAATAAAACATTGAAAACTTGAAGCTGTCACATGAGAAAATGCAAAAGAAAAAAGTTCAAAGAAGAAAATACATTTACAAGTTGCAACATGTTACATGTTTATATCACAGTGCTTCTCACGCTGGCTTTTGTGGTTTGAACAAAATAACTTCACCTTCTCGTTCATTGTCTTTAACCTCTTTAGTTAAGGTGTGCGATCCAATTTTTCCGCTCTATTATCCAAACTTTCAACTTAATTTGACCAGTGAAATAATCAAGCAGAGATCGGTGAGAGAAGGGACGTTGCGACAACTATTCAACCGCTTACTCTCTTAACAGCATGAACGAAACAAGGACTCCACAGAGCCCCTTTTAAAGGAATGAGAGTGTGGTTTTTAATTGCATTTGGCTCAATTTAATTAAGAAATGCTAGAGAATCCCCAATGGTAATTACTGATTAAAAAGCAGGTGAGGCTGACAGGCATGGCCATCAAAAGCTACCAAGCTTGCAATCCAATCTCTGCTTGTCATCCAAGGACACTTAAGACTCATCTGGGTGCAATATTAATTTGAGAACTTGTCTTTAGTTTAGTGTCCTAGCCTCAAGTTAGACCTTTGGAGTTCCCCACCCCCCACCCGTCACTTCCTCTTCTTTAGTTATTTCACCTTCAGAAACATAAGAAAATAACCCAAAGAAGAAGTGCTTGCTCTTACATAAGTGTACGGGAGAATTCAATTCTCAGAAGAACTGCTTGCAGTCTCTGCTGTGCTTGAGTGGAAATAAAATCCCTTCTTCCAATGCCACTTTGACTGCAATTTTCTTTTCCGCTGCAGTGGCCTGTAGAGAAGCTGCTTCTGTTTCGATAGAGGCCACTGGTACACAGGTAAATTATGAACCCATTTCCTGTGGAAAAATGTGAATGAATAAAACAGTTGTGCAGTGTGACGTATATGTGTGTGTTTTTTTTTTCTGTTATACAGGAAGAAGAGAGGTTTCTTTGTTTGCAGCCCTGATTGCCGTACTTCGCCGCTTCCTCCTGATTGTCATTGCAGTTTTTGTTGTTTCCTGGGGATTTGGTTCTCTATTGTTCTCTTTGCTGTTATTGAACCAAATGGCTTACTCTTGTGCAACATCGCCATCTAGTGGAAGTTAAAAAAAGAAACGCTATACCTGGTTTGGTAAACTTTCCCAATCTTTTGCAAATGTGTAATCCTACCTAATCACTGAATAAATATATACCTGATTACAATCTGTACCCAAGTTATTTGTTTCATGTATTCAAAACATGCTGCATACAAACACACAGAAGACATTGTGCTTTGCAAAAGTAATCACATCCTGTAACCCTTTTCAATTTTTTCACATTAAAATCAAGACGAACAAATTAGTGATTGTATGAAATGGAAAGAAAATTAAAGGAGTTAAACTTTGGTCTGCAATTATAATCAATTCATTTACTCTCCTAAAATAATATAAAGGCATAACCAATTGGCTTAAGAAATTACTTGATTAATAATGGCCAACACTCCATATCACCCTGAACACACCATTCACACGATGACAGCAACATCATGCTGCAGGGATGATTTACGAAACATGACTGGAGAAGATAGGCGGAGGATGACATTAAATACAGGGAAATGTTGGAACTTGCTATTGGCTGCAAAAAGACTCAACCAAGGCAATGTTTCGCCCCCCATCAGGACAAAAATCTTAAACATCCATTCACAAATATAGCTGAAGAATTTTGGTGAAATCATATTCATGTGTATGCATTGCCCAGTCAAAAGTTCAGACCTGAATCCAACAGAGATCAAGACTTGAAAATGTTTGCTCTTAGAAGCTCTGTAGAGCAGTTGACTGGTTTTGAGCTATTTTGTACAGGAGTCTGGGCAGAAGTGTAGGTTGGTGGACTGCTGGCAGAAACACCCCTCAAAATACTTGCAGCTGTGATTGCAGCCACACAAGCACAACCCCCACCACTTCCTGTAAAATCAGGAATTACTCACATACTTTGTCTCTGCGGTTCCTGATCACAACATCAAATTCTATCATAGAGGAAACTCTGGCAACAATTCTGTGAGCAAGGTATTTCTGTGATGTGCTGCAACAGAGGGAGAGAAAAGAAATTCATAGAACACTTATTTATTTGAATATACAATATATATGTATATATATGTATATATATATATATATATATATATATATATATATATATATATATATATATATATATATATATATATAGAGAGAGAGAGAGAGAGAGAGAGCGAACAAGAGAGAGAGAGAGAGAGAAATTCTATATATATATGAGAAATTCTTTATAATTTTCCCACTCCTAATGCATGTACAACAGTGTTGCTCTGTCATATAAAATCCAAATGAACTTTCCTATAGTGTTAACTTTCAGTCACCATCCAGACAGAATTAAGCGTTGCCTAATTTGCAGAGTAACGTCTGTTAGAGTAGGAATCGACCTCTTGATTTCTTCAAGAAAAAAGCAACAACTTTCTTTTATTTGAAGTGAAATAATATGAATCCAAAATGAAGTGCATATTTGCACCCACAGTTGCCTTCACATCCTGTGCATCTATGGAAGAAGCTCCTCCCATCTCTCCCAAACATCCCTGACAGGAGAAAACTTGTTGGACTTTGAGTGTCTCTGTTTTTGAATCTGAGGGTTCTTGAGATCATTCAAATGGTTTAAAGTGACATTGCTACTCTGAAAATATTTCTACCAGATGATGCGTCTTTGGTGGTCTCAATGCTGGATCTGTGTAGTCCAGCAAAAAGAACACCAGTAATCAGAGACAAGTATTCCTCATCAAAATCAATCCTTCTGACTTTTTTCCTTCTAGGTTTGCTATTGCGATTCTAACCTTTTTAGTGGCAGTGACATAATCAAAAAGCATGTCTTGATTTCACAGTTTTTCTCACAATGAATCGTGTGGGTCATTCTGATGACTTTTGCTGGATGTTTTGGCTAGCTTGATGTTTTGGCTTTATTTTGTTAATTCCGAAGTTTCTGGGAAAGTCAAAAAAGTTTTAATGTGACCAACAAAATTTATGTGGTTAAGTGCTTTTATGCACATAAAAATTGTGGTGGAGGTTCATGGTTGTAAGGTGATAAAATTCAAAGAAGTCCAAGAAGTGTGAATACTTTGCAAATGCTTTTCTGGGTCAGTGGCCTCTCCTGCAGTTGGCATATCAGGAAAGAGAAATTCCATCACCAACAGATAATAAAACACAAGGCCCTTGCAGGAAGAGGGAATCTGGGAATAAAAACAAACTATGTTCTGCTGACCAACCATAATGAGGCAAGGGCCTGTTTCCAGTTTGGATCAGCTTTGTTTTTGCTCATTTGGAAAGGAATCTATCAGATTTTCTTTTCTATTTTTTTAGGTTGTTTGTGGAAGAAGCAACCTTATGAGGACTGTTTTCATACTGCCCCTGTGACGAACCGTTATGGCCCTGAAAGCACTTCTCTGTTTATGCTTTGGCTTCACAGCACCAAGCTTCTCCCCTAGAGCCAGTAAATTACTCCACAGTACAACAAGCTCACTGTTCTACTCTGCCTAAGGTCTCTTAAATTTGCCTGTTTTTGCAGAGAGAATGATCACAGCTCATTATGACGTTATAGTTTAATATCTCTGCAAGTAACAATTTTTTTTGTTTGTTTTCCAGCTAATAAAAATACATTTATAGCACAGGAACACAGTGGTATGTAGCTGTGGTTGTGTTGTTTATCAGTGCAGAGCAGCTCAGAGTAATTTTTGGGAGTAACTTCAGTGGCAGCCCGCCCCCTCCACCACTTCATTCCTGAGACAAAAAAACCAACACAGAGCAGACCTTGACTAAGCTGTTTGCAGAAGAGCCCAGACTTACACATGTAGCATGCAACAGAGTGAGTCAGTTTTTTTTTTATTTTTCATTAGCTAGTTTTTGCATACATTTGGTTAACTTAGCTCAAGCAGCAGCTGAGTGGGAAACTTTCTTGGGAAGTTTGATTTACTGAGGATCTCACAGTTACAAGCGGCCGGTAAGTGGATTTTATGGAACAGATTTGTGAACATTTTAACTGAGTCATTTGCATTTAACTTGCAGTCCAATTGATTCTGCTGTAAGCTAACAAGAAAAAATACAAACATAACAGCACCCTTATTTCTGAGATATTCCAGTTTTTATTTATTTATTATTATTGTTTCTTAAATCACCAGGTCACAATTAACATTCCCCAACTAGAAAAACCTCCTCTGTGTAAATATAAACCTGTCTTAACTTCTACGAGATGTGATTCGGTCACAAGTTCACATTTATTGTGTTTGATGCATCTGTTCGCCATTTCCTGTGTGACTTTAGGTCTAAAATTTATATTTTCCCATATCGTGCAGAGCTTTTATGTCTAGCGCAGTAATTTCTCGGCTTTAATGGAGCTTAAAACCCTCATGCTTCCACACCGCAACTTTAGTTTGCTTTCGAAGGTGCTGGGGAAATTTCTTCTCACGCAAAGTATCGCGGTAATAAGCGATAACAACGACCAGAAAAAAAAAAGGGGTGTAGGGGAAGGGGCATTCTTCACGGTCTGATATCAGGCAGGAAAAGGGTCTAAATTTGAGTGATAAATTGAGGTTCCAGTGGTTTTAATGTATTTTTTTTAAGCACACAGCTGGAGCATGAGTGATGTTAAGAGAACTCGTGAAACAAATTTTCTTATTGCAGGAGGGTTGGTTCAGTTTTGAGAGTTGTAAATCAAAATGATTACATCTCAAAGAGCAATACAATAACTTTCGATTTACAGCAAGATCATGTGGCAATTATTCAAGGAATAAAACAGCTACACACTTTGCATTTCTCCTAGCTCGGTTTGGAAACCTGCCGCACTGTTTTGCACTGTTTCTCTAAGCAAGCAGAGTAAGTTATGCCACTGCATCAAGCTTGTTTCTTCTACACTATTTAGCTGTTCTTCACTGGGCAGCCCAGCTTGTTGCCAGTTGATCGACAGCAGATCTGGACTTGTTGATAGTAGGCCTAACATTGTTCTCGCTGGAGCAAAATAAAACACACATCATTTATCCTTCTGTTACATGCCAAAATCCTCATTTTCCTTATTTTTGCTTGAGTTTCTTGGAATGATCCACATTAACAATGTTCTAATCACATAACTCGTGGAATGTAATCTAATTGTCATTCTCAGTGATAGCTGATAATTTCAAGAGAAAGAAACCATTTGATGAGTAGATAGAAGAGGTTATTATTTCAGATAAATTTCCTGCAGCCATGTTGGATTTCAAGATTTGGGATGCTGAGAAACATCCCCACTTGAAATTTCAACTTTCAGTGATTTTAAAGTCCAAACCTAAATCTATCCATTTGAAAACAAGAACAAGCGATCTCTTAGGTTAGTACTTGAAAATGTTGGTATTCACTAAGGTCATTCTTGTTGGAAATAGCTTAAAACTGACGTATTAACAAAAGCAATCTGAACCAAACTATCGTTTTTTTATCCTGCTAAATGACTCTGTAAACTCCAGTTTATTATAATCCACTTCATTTCACTTAAAGTGCCGCTTTATATGTTGTGTTTTTTACTGTCTCCCCATTATTTCCTTTTATATAACTCAGAGGGCTAACAAACAAGATTATTGGATTGCCTCTTGTTCGAATAGCTCGCTGTGTGTTTGTTTGATTAAACCTGATTGGCAGGTCTTTGTACTTAATCCTGTTCCCGGGGCTTGAGTCGTTCATTTTTCTCTCTGACTGCAGCACGATGTTCACACCCCCGCATTGGTTGTGCATGAATCCCCAGCAGTGCTCAGGGCCAAGGAGGGAAGCACTGGCTCTGCTTTGATCTCCCCAATGCAAAACGTTTAATTTCATGGCTCAACCGCACAGCTAAGTTGTATCTACCTGTGTTGCATTTGTGTTGCCACGACTCGGGACCATACTGGCATAATCGGTCTGAGGAGCAGGCAAAATCACAGTTGGTGTGATCTCCTAAAAGAGAGCCTTCTTCAGCGTGTGTGTCCAATTGCAAGAGGTTGTCTGGTTCCTTGTCATCTTAAGGGTGTAAGAGAATCCCAAAGGAATGTTCTTGATAATATATAGATAGAAAAATAGAACCCCCGGTAGCCCCACTCATGGTGATGACCCTGCAAAACCCACTAACCAAATATCGAGTGCAACTTTACACCTCTCTTTTCGTTGCACCCCTCTGCTGCCAAGAAGATGTTCTGAGATGCAGGGCCAAATATAGATACTCTTCTCCTTCTCATAGCCTGGAAAACAAATTATGAAGGCGTAGATCCTGCTATGTTGTGTCTGCAAAGATGGCGCGTTATGTTATTGTAATTAAATGATCGAATGGGTGAGGTTTACTCCTGTAACTGAGTTTACTTTAGTCTTCATAAGGATATGAGTGTATGTGGTGTAACATTACACCACCGAGTGATTCAACCCTGAGAATGTCGCAAAGATCCAGTGAAATGTGATGTCATTTGTAATGTCAAGTGTCATTACAGTGGCTGACAAATGATTTCAAACTCTTTTAGTCACACTATAGCCACAAACTTTAATGTGTGATGCAACAAAACGACTAAAAGCATTTAATAAGTGTAAAAAAAAAATAAAAAAATAACAAAAAACAGATCCATGGGACCACATTTTGGTGCGGTCTCACCCCCAAAGTCAATTTTGCATATTCAGAGAAGAAAACTCATTTAGATTTGATGGAGAGCACTGGTAAAAACATTCATTTTCAAGTCTATTAATACACCTGGACTTTTACCTACCCGTTACAACACATGAATATGTTTTGCTTTAAGTCATCTAAGACTAGCTTTAGGGTCATGCTCCTGTTGGAAGGTGAAGCCTCTAACAGGTTTTCTTTCAGGACTTGCCTGTATTTAGCACCAACCATCTTCCCTGGAGCTTTAAAAAGCTTCCCTTTCCCTGTTAAGAAAAACCGTCACCCACGGCATGATGATGCCACCATCATGTTTTATTGTAGGGATAGTGTGACCAGGGTGATGTGCAGCATTTGTGCTCCGTCACACAATGTTCTGCTTGTAGGTCAAAAAAGTCAGTTTTGGTTTCATCTGACCAGAGCATCTTATTATCCATCTCGCATTTGGCTAATGACAAACTGTTAACAGGACTTCTTATAGGTTTCTCTTAACAGTGGCGATCCTCTTTTTTAAAGGTCAAATTGGTGTCAAATATTTCTCAAGCAGTTTTCAGCAACAGTGTGACAATTACATAGTTTTTCTAATATCAAGGAGCCCTAATTTGCAGTTGTGCCATGTTGTGCTGGATAATGGATAGAACAGTGTCTAGTGAGATATTCAGTGTTCAGGGTATTATTTTATAACCTATTCCTGATTTTTATGCACAATCATGTCCCTGACTTGCCTGCTGTGTTCATTGTTCTTTATGATGCTATTTGACCACTGATGTTATCCTACAAATCACTTATATCTTAACTGAACTGCTGTATTTATACTAAGATTGTATTGCCAACAAGTGGACTCTTCTTACTAATTTGGTTACTTATGAAAGTGATTTTATTTTTATTCATTTAGGGGTAACAGAGCAAGGGGGGATGAAAAGAAGGTTTGAAAACTATATGTCCCCTTCCCACTGTGTGCTTCTTTACATTGGTATGAAATTCAAATATAAACTAACAATATATGCATACACACAGCATTCTCCCTTTGGTGAAAACATAACTTATTAGCTGTTTAGAGAAAATCAGCTAACTCTACATAAAATAAACCTCACCTGACTCCTTAATCCTGACTTGTTCCTCTATTTTTATTCAAACAGGTACAATGGATCTTGTATTTGTGGTGGCGTTCAGCTCTTGGCTGGCTCCTGCACTGGGTGAGAAGGAATTTTCTATAATTGCTTTGGCATTCGGACCCTTACAAACCCAAATGTGGAAGCGTATTGTTCAGCAGTACATTGCAGTAGTTGTGTTTTAAGTTCCTGATGTGTGTGTATGACAGGGTCAGCGTTTGGCAGGGAGGTAGTTGGTAAGTTTCCTGCATTAGAGTGGCCCCTCCCTGAAATTGCATGGGCTTTACTCCCTCGTGTTGTTTTGTCGGCTGGCTTTTTGTGAACAGCACCACTTGTTTGAATTGCAGTAAATCATTTTTCATCCCTCTTTTCAGTTTGTTTTTTTATTTGTCCAGAGATTTTGTTTTATGCCTGCGGTTTTCTCCCAGAAAAGGGTTTTGTTTCTGCAGTTTGAATAATCAATCATCTGGTGCTGCCTGGTTTTCCATTGTTACAAATACAAATCTTGGTCTCTGACTTGTTTCCCTAGGCGCTCCACATACCATCAGCAGGGTTTGATGCTAAGCAGATTTGCCCACGCCGATTTTTTAATTTTTTTTTGTCTGACTGCAGGTCACTTTTTAAAGCTTGTCAAGAAGCAAAACATGTTTTTCATCTCAGAGAAAAATACCAACAGTTTAGATTTATTTTGTCTAGGAATGAGGTCAGAGGTAATTTCAGGTCAACTTTCTCTTCAGTAAACAGATTGCAGTGTTTTGTTTCTTTTTTTATAAAATGCATGTTAGTCAGTGCAATCTAATCTATTGTAAAAAATTTATGTTGGAATGGATAAATTAATTGTTGATAAGCTTTTTAGTATACTATATCCAATTGCAATTGTACCCTGGGACTTAGTTTTAATATGATTTACAATGTCTAATAATATTAGTCATAACAACTTTGCATTAAGTGATGATGTAAAATGTCAGATGGTCTAAACATCTGTCCAGCCCTGCTTCCATCTGGCTCTTGTCTACATGTTAGCGTTAACACAACGTCTGCTTTGTGTCTGACATAAACCTAAGTTGGTTGCTCAGTAACCCTGCATGTTTCCCGTTAGGCCACTAAACTTAAGGTAGGAATGGGATTTAACAAGTTAAGTTTGTTTTTTTGTCACCATTTTATAGTTTGGGCTCCACGCATGAGGAGGCTATAGGTGAGAGAAACTAGTACAAACAACAGGGCAATAAAACAAAAATATATTTGAGGTAAATCAATGTTATTAGAATTTTATAAATGTTGCTCCATGCTGATCCCCTTTTTCATGGATGACTGTTTAGAGTTGATTGTTTTGTGATCACTTTGATCAGTAATGTCAAAACGTAAACACAGATGGTGATGAGTACCATTTTCCATACTCCAGGCACATGTGTTATCATGCTCTAAAGTCAATAAAGGACATTGGAGAGTAATTCACAGGAATTTTATGTTGTGCACAAACTGTCAATGGAGTTCTTAATTGTTAAGTGGGACAAAAATAATAAATGATTTTATTTTAATATTAAAGTATGAAAAGTGTGGCATTTAGGTCTTTAGGTTTTTGGCACATAGATAAACTTTAGCTAAACCATTACATTATCAAAATTCCTTCAAGTCTTACCATTTATTTAGCTCCTACCATCTTCCTTTCTTTGTTTACCAGCTTCCTTTGCCTTCCTGAAGTAAAGCAGATGCAGCATAATCACACAATGTATAATGCTGAACACTCTGAACCGACCATTAAACACAGTGCTGCTGCCTTGCATAATGTTTGCATTGACTCAAAATAATTGGTCTCATTTGATTGCAGCACCTTCTTTCACGTGTTTGCTTTCTCCCACACTTGATTTGAGGCATCTGATGACCTTCTTTGAACAATTGCTTTCCTGTCAGCTGAACTTGAATATATAACTGCAATCAATTTGCAGTTATATATTTTCCTGATACTGTCCAGCCCTCTTCCATAAAGGCCACATTTGTGAGGTGGACTACTGACTGTTATCACATCCACAGAACTTCTCTGAATTTTGTGGATTTCTGCATCTCCTCCAGAGTAACCTTTGTCATATTGGTTGGTTCATTATGCTGTAATTGGGTATGGTTACTATGTTTGTTGCTCTTGAACATGTTTAGGAGTTTAGTTGTGCAGAGTGAACAGAACTGCACAACAAAATGTTTTATAGCTCAGAATTATGCTCTACTTTGCATTGATTATTAGTCCCTAGTAAAACTACGGAATTTTGTGAAAGAAAGCCACTATTAATTTTATGGGTTGCCCTTTGTGAAGCGTACTCAGCTATTGTCACTTTTGCAGTTTGCTGACAGATACTTAAACCACGACATGATATGTTCTTTTCTCTTTTACAGTCTCAGCAGCAGACGATGAGAAAGGTGAGGACAGTTTTAAGAAAAAGCATAAAATAGTCAAATCTTCAACAATTTGCTGCCATTTAATTCAGGAATGTGAGTAACTAATGGATTGAAACAACTGCAAATCTGTCGGCTCATGAGAAGAGTCTGAAGTGTGTCACTGGTTACATCTGCCTCTCATTCATTACCTCTCTGCCTTCTGGTCTACTTTTCCTTCCAGACTTCGACAGCGCTTTTCATTATGGTGAGTGCTGAGCACGCAAAGGTTCTCCTTTTAACAGTCGACCCCTCTGCTCAGGAAACATCTGGGAAGTCGAGATGAGTGAGCGTTGTGGTCTCGTTTTTCCAGAGGTGATGGAAAACTTTCACCTGTTGGCGCAAGTTTTTGCAGCAGAGCCAAAAGAAGCACTTGACATCCTGTCTGCTGAATTTAAAATTAAAACAGCCACAGCATATACTGCACAAGAAAATCTCAATTGTTTCCATTTTTCGTGTCTTGCCCAAACTGATGGTCCAGCATTTCACATTTTGTTTGTGTTTGAGATTAGATAAACATTCAAATCAGTCAGTTGCATAAGCCGTGCAGAAATTTTGTTTTTTTTCAATATGAACATTTATCAGTCTGGGTTTAGACTATACTGGAAAGCATATTGGAAATGAATAACACAAGATTCATCTAAAAATGGAAAAATGTTTTGTTTTGCGATTAAAAAAAATAAAATGCTAGCTGATGATGTCAACAAATAACGGATGTTTTATAAACTGTAGAATAATGCATAAAAAGTTTTACCTAAACAAAGATTTTAAACACCTCCACAATTGACTTCAAATTGTTGAATTTTCCAAAAGCGAGATATGGAAGACCAGTGAAAATAATTCTGTCGATTTGTTTTTATTGAACACAGTAATCTTTAAAACTATGTAAATCTTTGCTCTCTGTATCTGACGAGCTCCAGACATGTTAGTAAATGCAGGTAAAGATTTCTGTTAACTCCTGATAAGCTTGAAGGAATTTCAGTCCAGTCATCAGCCGTGACACTTGGATTGGATATGTCCTCATTACACGTTTCTTGGTGGGGCTAAATTTGGACTGATTTTAAGAGTTTTAAGAGTTTTGTGGTGGAGAATTACTAAATGCATTTAGTTCTAAAAGTAAATCTGCATTATTTTTTTTTAGATATTTTTGTTGTCTTGAAGGCCACCTCACAAAATGAAATGTATTCATGGTCTCACTTTGATACTTGTTACTGAGAGGAACATGAAGTCTTGGAGCAGTTTTGTCAGGCCGCGTTGTGGAGCTAATCTTCTACTTTGTTATTCTTTCTTACGCAATGGAGTTATTGCAAATATGCAAAGTTTTTCTTAGTTGCAGCTAAGCATCTGTGAACGTTCTTATCCTTGTTTCCCCTCTCTTTGATCTTTTAAGAGCATCAAATCTCATGACAATTTGTCATCCCAGCTGTAAAGATAAAAGTCCCAAGATAAATGCAACATTCTTTTGCCTTTTCCCTCCTTTCCCCTGTGACATACAGGAGCGAGATGATACTTATTTTTTTAAGTATCACATTTGTTCAGAATCACAAACTAGATTAAAAATATCCATTTAAATACTTTCTTTTCTTTTACACTTTGATTATTTTGCAAGTTCAGTTTTATTGACCACTGTAGTCTGACCCTGTGATCAGAATTTGTTTTAATTTTCCAAAGCTTGCCTTACACATCCCTAAGCAGAAGTTATCCACTGCAAAAACACAAGTCGCAATGCACTTTAAATAAGACAAAACTAACTAACAGGTTAGTTGTCAGTAATATGTACAACCTTGGTTTAAGTCAATATTTCTTCAATATTGATTAAAAGTACTTGCTCTAATGGCAATTTTTTTACTTATACATTTATTTTTTTAATATTTTTTTAAGCTTGTTTTGAGAAGGATATTTTTTGCAGTGTTTTCACTATCAGTTGCTTTACATGCATGGGAAAGTTGTCCTGCTCTTCTTCCAGAGAACTGTCGCAAAACAAACTAAACAAGAATGCAACTGTGTTTAAAGTCAAGACTTGACACCAGCCTTGAAATTTGTTTACAGATCTGCTATCTGCAGCTTGTATGGTTTTTTTGCCATCCCCACAAACCGTTATGAGATATCAAATTACCTCTGCAGTGCTTTTCAATTAAAATTTAATTCTAAAGCCTCGGAAAATGCCTGAATATATCAATTTTTTTTATGTACTTAGGAGAAAACCCTCTGCATATCTCCTTTCAGCTTTGCAAGCATTTTCCCAACATTTTTTAAATTTTTTCATTTCAGATTATGAATCTCTGAGAATCGGAGGCCTGGTTTTTGCCATCGCTCTGTTCCTGCTGGGCATTTTCCTCATCGTCAGTAAGTATACAAGTTTGCAACAGATGTAAAACGTCACACTGAAATTATGCTACAAAGCATGCAGACTCTTTTTCTGGGCTCTGAGATTCACACACACTTCTTGGAAAGTGTGCGTGGAAAGTATCAGCCAGTCGCAGCATTTCGGCCATCATAGCTCGGCCTTCTCTTTTACTCGTGGCGTCGTCTCAAAATTCCTGCTCCAACCTGCCAGCTCATCCTGCTGCTTCTGCCAGATAGAGATGTGAAACCATAACTAAGCAATAAATAATTTAGTCAGACGCAACCTCTCTGCAGCACGTCCTCTGTGTTTACAGGGACTAAAGTGAGTTTCAAGCATTTCTTAGAGAAAGACGGCTTGTGAAAAGTTTTGGAAGGTTGAATAAAATTTCAATATTTACCTACAGATGCCTAGGAAACATCAGATACTAATCTAATCTAATACTAATTCAATCTGTCTTTAAATGTTAATCAAAACAAATACATATTTATGTTAATATCTCTTTTGGTAGTTTTATAAGCTTCAATGAGATTTACAAATGTGTAACAGCTCCATGGAAGAAATAATGCGATGCTTTTGCTACTTTAATCTTATTCCTGACTCAAAATAGCTGTTTAAGATTCATCTGTCAGGGTGCTAAAGCTTGATTTATTTTCTATATAATTTTCAGTTAAATGGAAGAAAGTCTGTTTGATCTCATTTTAATTTAAAGAGCTATTTAGACAGTGTGTCATTGGATTACATGGGCCAGCAGCAAGTAAAGGAAGGGAAGCATAAACAGAATTAAAATATACACTCATGAAGGAGTATTTTCTATCTAAATATTTAAATTGAACAAAAAAATCATGGCAGTTTGAATCATATTTGAATTAAAATGTTCCCTCTTCGTTTCCTGTTTGCTTCCAGAGGTGGTGCTTCTTGCATCAGTGGTGCCTCTTGGTCCTTTATAACTTATGATTTTTCCATTAATAACTTCTTGATGTTTAAGTTGTATTTTAGATTTACTTTTCGAGTTTTGATTTTGGCATCAGTGCTAGTGTTTCCTTTGTTTATCAAAAGCTGAGAATCTCTCACTGTGAACTAGGTGTGCAGAAATCATCCAGATTTCAAACGACACACCTTTTTTTTTATTTTCCATTTGCTGTCACATGATGGAATAACTCCAATCAAATTAAAGCTATGCTATTTGAATTTATTGTTGTTTTCTAAATCACTAATGGTTGAAATTATGCTGGAAGGTGAAAGTCTACGCATACTTGTTCACACAACCAAAAACCTCCGTTTGTCAGTAACATACTTCTGGTTTAAGTTTTGCTGTATTTTTGGCAACTCCTGATATCAAAATTGATCTAGTTTTAGTTCAATGAGTTGGTTTCCAGGAGTAGAGATCAGAGGTTATTTTAAAATAATAATGAAAAATAAATACAGTGAGAAAGCATAAATCTGGGATACATCCCAGATTTGCTGCCCAGAACATCCTGAGTTGTTTTACATGTAATTTTATCCAGCTCTTTTCAGAAATGGTGGTGCAATGTCAAAGTTTCAGAACAGCCCTGTAAATTTAAATGTTATGCTTTAGTAAATATTGAATATTCTGCCCAAGTTTTTTCTTTTTTCTAACAGGTCGAAAGTGTACCTGTTCAAAGAGTGACAAGCCAAGGTGAATTACACAAAATAAGACAAAGATATGCTTTTGTTTTCATATTAGATATAAGTACAAATGTACAAATATTATTTTTACATGAATACCTATCTGTATTTCCCTTAGACCCAGGAATCCTGAAGTTGAATCAGCTGTCCAGAAAGGTATATTTTACATTTTCTTCAATGTTTACTGATATGACATGACATACATGTGACATTACAGATAATATTAAAATATTCTGCTGTAATTTATGACTACAAACATATTTTTTTTTCAGCTTAACTGAGGCTACAGAAAAACTGGTAAATGTCTTTAAAACATCAATGAATCAAATGATTTAAAAGAGAAAACAAACTCAGTTGACGTCTTTGCATCTGCAGTTGCCTACTGGCGCCACCAGATGGCAGCAAATACCGCGAAGACGGCAGAGAACGATCCTTTGAAGAGGACAGCATTGAATCTTTTTAAATGACATAATCCAGTTGTTTCTTTCTTTTCCCTCCTTTTTTATGTTTTTGTCATTGATAACTGTCACTAGATGATGTTTTATCTTTATACAGTAGGAGTAGTGACTCTCGTTTTTATCTTCTGATTTTCAAACAGATGCTAGATAATAAAGCAAATGTTTGAAAAAAACAACAACAACAAAAGTTTGCTTTGATTTGTTTCATCCTAAACATTTTTGTTCTTTTTACCGGTGTGGTTGTAGAACTGCGAGTGTGGCCATCTGGTATGCTGCGCTCATGTTTCTGCTGACAGTGCACACTGTTCAGTTACACATGCAGTTGTAACTACCAGCAGTGTGGGAGGACTCACTGCATTATGCAGCATTCAGAAAGATTTTCTTTAAGCACTACATTGCACCCTTCTTTGGTTTTCAAGCTGCTAAATGGCAGCTTTACACTCTAGTGTGGTGGTAGCCTCTCTAAAGAGGAATTACTACATACGGCTATATTCCCCCGACACTGCAACAGAAAACACAGGAAGGGCTGCATTCACTGCATGCAAACTCCTCTCTCTGGACATTAATAGCTGGAAAATAGGTACAATTATTCAGATTTTCTCAAAGCAAATGATATCATTTCATCTTATTTTTCCCATGAATGAAAAATGCTCACAAAATAAGACTTTACAGTCCACTGTAGTTAGATATTGTCTCTTTGTTATATCCATATTTTTTATTTTTTTGGGCTGGGCCACCATCTCCTTTAATCTGCAGCCTGTGTGCTTCATCACTATTGGGATTGCCCCTCGATTGCACCAGTAGATGCGAAGAATGGTTGCAGTTTTTCATTGTCACCGCCAGAGGGACGCCTGCTGAGCTTGTACAATGCAGTCACAGTAAGATGTTCTGCCTGCTGCTCTGCCCAGTTTCTCCATCCCTATCCAGGCTGTAACTGCAACCCAGTAACTTGCTAAATTTCCAGAAGGAGACAGAGCTCTTCAGCATCTTTGCATCGCAGCCATGGCCACCGCAGGTTTGTTCTCTTTACTTCTGTCTGTACCATTTTGTACTCAGAAAGATGTTTTGGATCTAAAGGAGAAGGAAAGAAATGTGATTTTAGTTTGTTAGATACTTGTCTTTATGTTTGGTTATTATTAAAGTAATGGAAGCTTGTTAAAGTAATGATGCATGGATTAGTGTCACAATGAGGGAAGTTCCTAAGTAAACTACCAAACTGAGAAGGTCAATTTTTAGCACTTCTGCAAAATCAAAATGGTTTCACAATTGTGTTGTTACATATAAGATGCCAAATTAAGCACTTGGGACTGAGAGTTCAGTAAAAACATACTATTGGCAGCATCTCCAGCCTCTAACACTTTTGTGTTTATAAATTCTGGCAGCAAAAGAAATAATTAGTAATTATAGATCTTGTTGAAAATTGCATAACTGCTGGTTTCTGTTGGAGCCCTTACCCCCTCCTTTCCTATATGCTTGTCTCTGCTCCTGCTGGCTTGTAACCCTTTTTTTTTTTTTCTGCTGAGCGAAGATGCTGCATTGAGTGCCATTCTGTTTAGGGCAAGAAAAAAAACTCCCAAAGTGTGTTGAAGCCAAGTCTGCAGACATAGGAACAGAAGACCCTGCTCAATTTCAACACAACCTTAAACTGCTCTGCTGAAATTAGCAGTTCTGGATCTGTAAATGATGAGAGTCTTTCTTTTACAGAATCAGTGTTTCCAGACCAAAGTGACTTTCACTATGGTAAGATTTCATCCAATTGCAGTACCTTGCAAAAATATTGCACTCGTTTACATTTTGTCACGAGATAGCCACAAAATGCGTGTATCTTACATAATAGACCAAAAGAAGGGAAGGTATAATTAAAGTGAAACCCTTAAGCAAGACTGGAGGTTTGTCATAGAACATCAGTGACCAAAAAAAGCACCATGAAGACCCAGGAACACACCAGGCAGGAAGAAATGCAGCAGTTTGAAAAAACAGCCCAGCTTTTATACAATCTCAATGTAAAACACAAACCTATTAAGATACGATCATCTGCATAAAAGCAACAGGCAAAAAGAGCAGGAAAGACCTGCAAGAACATAATGTGCTCAAATGACTATAAAACAGATTTTTTGGGCTTCTGTGTTAAAGGCAGTTCTTGAAGAAAACAGTTTAGCTTCTAAAAATGGTTTGGGAATTGGGTAAAGATTCACCTTCTAGCAAGACAAACACCATAAACATACATCCAGAGCTACAACGGGACGGTTTTGATCGAAGATGATCCATGTGGTATATTGGACCTAAATGTTTTTGGTAGATGGTCTTCAACCAATCCTTTGCATCATATTTGTAACATTGATAGCTTTACTTGTTTAAGTCACTTGTCATTTTATCCCCTGCAGATTATGAGACACTGAGGACTACAGGGGTCATCCTTGCTGTCATTATGTTTGTCTCTGGCATTTTAATAGCCATGAGTAAGTTTAGATATATATATTTTTTTTCAAATATGCCAATAATACTGAGACTTTAGTAAATATGTAAAAGATCAAACTTCTGTAACTGATCTATCATTCCTCAAACAGGCAAAAAATTCACAAAATGCTTTAAATCCTCATCCAAGTAAGAATTAAGTTAGATTTAGCGAATGATCTGCCCGTGCATGTCGTATGAATGATGTTGAATTGACTACAAAATCTATGGGGTGAAAAAACAAATCTGTTCTTGAAACAACTTAAAAATATCTTTTTCAATTTTACCCTCTCCCTTCCTGGATGCCACTTGAATATGAGTGCTTTCTCCTTGTTCGACCAAAAATTCACTTTCAACACATCAGTGAGTTCATAAACAACCATTAGAGGAAAAAACAAATTTCCAATGCTTTCTTAACCCTTCCATCTCACTGCTTGGCCTGAAAGGCTTTTGTTTAAATGTATGCATTCAAGCAGAGACACTCCTTGTGTGTTGGTAGTGAATGTGGGAAATCTACTCTCAACTAATCGCATGTTGCTTGAATGGCAAGACAGGAATAAAGACAAGAGCTGCTGTTTCAGGAGGACAAGGACTTGGTATTTTGGTTTACGGTCATGGTGCTTAAAAGTTTGAAAACTCTAAAGGTTTCTGTTTTTATAAACCTAACACACAGTATAGTATATATATATATATATATATATATATATATATATATATATATATATATATATATATATATATATATATATATATATATGCTTGAAGCTTGTGTATATTAATAAAACAGTTTTTTTTTATTTAAAAAAAGTAACTTAAGCCACTATTTTAAGAAAGTGACAATATTATATTATATTATATTATATTATATTATATTATATTATATTATATTATATTATATTATATTATATTATATTATATTATATTATATTATATTATATTGCTAATTTTTTTCCCTTTTTTCCAACATTGGTTGTGTTAATATCCTGTCATAACTAAGCTGAAGGTGAAAGTAATTCCTTTGGATGACAGCTTCGGGAATTCACAATAGGACTATAGAAACCCTTCTCAGAACTTACCAACAAACATCACTATGAGATCACCACACATGAAAAATTTCACCAAGGACCATAAGACACAGTTACTTAAAACTAAACATGATGTTGTTTGATGAAATGAGAAGTGACTTTTTATGAAGAAATGAATATTGCATTTCAGCACAAAAATTCCAGCTATGAAACATGGTTGAAAAAGTGACTTACTTAGGCATGTTTCGCTTCACTGGGACTGTTCCCCTCAATAAACAATAAGTCCTGAATTAAACCGGTAAACTCCTAAAGAAGAATATCCAGACTTGAGTTTGTGAGGTGCAAAAAGTAGAACTGACGTAATGTTTAGGAAAGTCAGGTTTCTGACATCAGACTGACAGAAAGGTTGTCAAGAAACTAAAGCCGGATAAATGGAAACTACTGAAGATTTTGTGACAGAATGTAAAATATTTCACATTCAGATACGACATGAATTGCTACGTCTTCATATTCAAAAGACTTTGTGTTTTTCCTAAGAATAAAAAAATGTCCAAGCATAGAAGCTTGTTCAGTTTCAATTTGGTGAGACATTTATCTGCATTGTCATCTGTTTGATTGTATTATCAGGTCTATAACGTTCTAACAGATGTGAAGCTGTAATGTAAAACTTTACTGTTCGAACAATTTCATGTCCATGTCTGTACAGCAATCATGTCAAAAGAATGTAACATTTATACTGCAAGAATGTGAAATCTTTTAGTTAAAACATGACAAATATATACATTGTTATAATGTGATACCATAAGAGTTTATTGTTAGAAAAATATAATTTTCATGTTATAACATAATTAGCGCTATTTTTTCTGGTTGGCAAACCTTTACTTGTTATTTTTTCTTTTTTGTTCATACAACAACATTCTTTGATCACGGTTAATGAAAACATTTACATTTAGTTTTTTTTCTGAGTAAGAACAAGGCAGCTATGTTTTCCTTTTAATGCAAAAAGGAAAAACTCTTAAAGTTGTGCCACTCAGATCTCTACTTATAATTCTTAAAAGGCAAAAGTGCAAATGTTTTTTCTTTAATCTATTAATTTTATTCAGACTGAGTCTGTTTCTAGTAACTAGGTGAAACCTAATTCTTCAAATCAAATAATCATATAATGAAATCTCTGAAGCCTTGACAAACTTTTAAGCACCACAAATCAGAACCCTGTGGCTCCAACTAGTTTTAGATCTGCACACTTTTACAAATTCAAGACAAAGTTGTTGCCACAGTTTTCACAGGATACAAGTATGTTTTACAGTTACCAATTTAACCCTTTCATGCATGAATTATGATAACCTCAGTGAACTTCTCATTTCTCTGTCATTTAAGTCAACTTTAGCCAGGCACATAAAATATGCAGCTCATTTCCTAAAACATGTCGTTCAGACCTTTTCACTGACAGGAACAATATGTTTCTTTAAAAATGTAAAATTATGAATATTGTACACCGAGTGAAAACTATACATCCATTCATCTATTCATTGACTATATCTGTTTTCACAAGTCCCAATTCATCTCTGACCTACATTATCCATAGCAGCCATTGGGTGGGAGGTCCATCAGGGGGCAACACAGGGATACAGGACAAACAGCTATGCACAGATTCATGTCTACAGAAAAAAAATTAGAGATCAATAGCAATTAGGTCTGTGGGAGGAGAGTAAAATTATGAATATTGAATTAATATACCAAATTACCAAAAATTACAATTTTCTAATTCTGGTCTGCGTGATGAAAAGAAACACAACTTCTGACCACGACAAATGTTTCTCAAAGAACAATAAAGCCATTGTTCTCTGGACTAAATAATAAAAAAAAAAATAAAGAAAAAAACAGTGCTGATTTATCATTTGAAATATTGCTTTTCAACATAGACATGGCAGATTGTACATCAAGCTAATTTAGATCTGTGGTTCTTGGTGGGTTAATGTTGAAGCAACAGAAAAGCAACAAACACATGAATGTACATACTAAGAAGCAACTGCACAGGCAAGCACCCACGTTTCCACACTGACTCACACGTGTGTGAGATATTGCCCATGACCGGTTGCAACATTAAATTAATCTTCAAAAAATATTGAAAGTGCAGGATCTAATACACAGTGCAAATATTTTCCTGTACAATACAAAAACAGTACAAACAGGCAGTTAGCCATGATGTCCTCTTTTATGGGAAAATTACTAGGTGAAATTTCCTACCAACAGAAAATTGAAAGTTAACGCATTTAAAAAAATAAACCCCCCACTCATTAATAGTTGTTATCAATACTATTGATAAAGTATGACAAAGTAAAGGTGTCATAATTTGGTGTAGAAAAGTATTTGCGAGTCACTTGCAATT